TATTTCAGTTTGTGCTGTAACATGGACTTGGTCTTCTCTACAAAGATGACCTTAGCTGCATAATACGTTTTACAGATGACCGATCTAATTCTTTTCCTCACAACAAACCTATGTGAATCACCTCTAAATGGTAATGAGATGTAGACATTTTTCACAATTTTCACATAAATAGTTCAACAAGTCCATATGTGATCAGATTGTTCGAAATGTATAGCGCTAATACATCACGACATGTTTCAGGTAATTACAATTGACTACAATGCCCAAGTTTTACTAATAGTAATATAATAGTAATTAAATATAAATTTTAAAAAAACCAAGCAATTCCACGCTATTATTCATCGTATTGTACGTTTAAGTGGTAGTTTAAAGTATCAGTAAACAACAGATATGATCGTCTATCAGCTAGACAGCAGAAAGCCTAATCGGTTACCCAGTTTGACCAAATCTCATTCTTACCATTATCTTCTTCGTCCATATTGTTGTCACGATTTATGCTACGATAGCATCAGTTCAAAGACACACACACACACACACACACACACACACACACACACACACACACACACACACACACACATGTAAGTAAACCCCTCGACTATTAGTACCTTATTAATTCAGATTATTTAAACCGCCGATTAACGGTGGAGAGAGAAATTTATCAGTAATACAATATCTATAGGTATAAAAAAAAATTGTGAATCATCTATATCGGTTTAAGTAAACAAAATTGGGAATTTATTTATTTCCCTGAGATGACAAACAACGCCTATCTTGGATAGTTAAAATGATCATCAATCTGATGCTTCTTTACTCATTCAAGTACATTTGAATTAGGATGAGAAGTCTTCACCAAGCAGCGTGTATGAATACGATCATGAATTCACATGGTAGTCGGATAAAACCCACCTTAGTGATTAAAGTGAAATAACAATGTGGTGGTCAACAGTCAGACCTCGTAGGACAATTGGTAGAGCACTGGGCCAGTAACCCGGTGATCGCTGGTTCAAATACGTCAGCGGTTTAAGTTTTCATTTCATCTTTAATTATCACCCAGTATAAATACTCGTCCGTCTGCACCATGTATGAACCTAGTTGGCAAGGATGTCCAGATTGCAAAAGAGATGAGAAGGTATGGCATGGAAGTGCTTGGAATCTGCGAAAGCAGATGCAATGGAAGTAGACTCTACAAACTATCAACTGAAGAGTCAATAACCTACTCCAATATTGTCACCCACACGACAACCACCAGCACACTGAGTTTCCCAGTGGCTATCATGGTGTCCCTTTCAGGAGCATCGAAGACTCTCTCTCATGCACTGCGAACCAATCTCCTCCAAAATCACCATCATGACAGCAAGATTCTACTCAAAAGGAAGAAAACTCACAATCATACAATGCTACGCTACGCTACGCAATGCATCTACAAATAATCAAGACAACTCCAATCAGTAATGGACAACACCGCACTCCACATGGCGACATCAAAATTCTAATGGCCAACATCAATGCCAAACTCCAAGCGGACAACACAGAAAGACAACTCGTCTATCATGGGTCGAGAAGCACTCGCTGAAATGATGAGTGACAATGGAGAAATGTTTGCACAATTCTGAGCATTCAACCATTCGGTCATTAAAGGCAGTGTGTACAAACACAAGAATATTCACAAAGCGAGAGACATGGATTTCATGAGACACCAGATGGACACACTAAACATCAGATAGACTTCATCTCAATGTGAAGAAAGTGGAGACACAGCCAGCCTACCCCACACAACATCAGATCAAGAAGGGGACCAGTTGTAGGTTCACACCACTCACAACACTATCTACTGCAAGCAACCTACCTTCAAAGCCTTCAAACAAATTGGTGATAGATAACCACAGTTCAAGTTCAACACCCAGAACAGAAACTGAACTGAAGGACGAAACTAAAAGGGACATCTTCACGTCAGCCATCACGACAAAATGGGAGACATTGAGCAACATCCCTGAAAGATCGGTCGTGAAGAACACTGGAACCCTTTGAAAGCTATCTGGAAAGAAACCTGCATCACCGTGTCAGGAAGGAAGAAGAAGCAAGACAAGACAAGGGATGGATCTCGATTGACACATGGAACCCAATAGAGGAGAGGAGAGGAAGATGGTGAAGCAGAAAATAAACCAGTGCAAAGATAAACAACGGAAAGAGGAACTGAGTACAATGTATAAAACAGTACGCTGGACAAAGAAGTGAAGAGGAGTGCGCACAAAAACAAAAGACACTTCTACGACACATTGTCAAGTGAAGCAGGACTGGTTGCAGGTAGGAGAGACGTGACAATTTTGTGTCAAATAATCAGGTTACTATTTAGGAAGAGATCAGCATAGATGAAAACAATGGAAGATAGCGAAGTGAGCTTGATTGGCAAAGAGGAGTAACAAAGGAAACAATGGACTGACCACTTCGAAAAGCTCTTGAATTGACCACCACCTGCAACTCATCCAGAAATACCACCAGCAGCCGCAGAACTACAAATGAACATAAACCCTCCAACAAAAGTGGAAGTCCTGAGCACCATAAAGCTACTGAAATGCGGGAAAGCAGCAGGACCAGATGGAATTCGGCCAGAAGCACTGAAAAAAGATGCAGAGATAACAGCGGAAATGCTCACATCACTATTGCAGAAGGTTTGAAAGGAATGAAAGGTACCTGCCGATCGATTGAAAGAAGGGTTCCATGTCAAACTCCTAAAGAAGGGAAACTTAAGTGTTTGAAAGGACTGGCGAGGAATCACGCTAATTGTCCACTCTGAGCAAAATGTTATGCTAAATCATGCTGGAGAGATTAAAAGATGCAATGAATTCAAAACTACGACCGGGAAAGGCTGGATGGCTGGATTCAGGAACTACAAATCATGTGTGGATCAAATTGCAACACTACGCCAAGCATCATCATCGAACAGAGTATAGAATGGCAGTCAACTCTCCACCTCAACTTCATCGACTTCGAAAAGGCTTTCGACAGCGTCAACCGAGAAGTAATTTGAGAGCTGCTGCTTCAACACTATACAGTGAGTGACACAAATCTTTATCAACAGCATTCAACAACTATATGAAGACACCATATACCAAGTGATCCACAATGGGAAGCTCAGCTCAGAGATGCCTTTGAAGTGAAGATGGGAAGAAGTAAGACAAAACTGATGCCGACTACCACCCATGATCTTCCTCATTGTGGTCAACTAGACTGGATCATGCAGCAAACAGTGAGGAGCTGTAAGAAGAGGGGGATACGCTAGACCTGGGAAAAGATCCTAGAAGACTTGGATTTCGCCAATGATGATTTATGTGTATTGTCTTGTCGCACAAACTCGAAGATCTATAGGTGAAAACTAACAAGTTGGCAGAAGAGGCAGCGAAGACACCAGTTCAAGTGAACGTAGAGAAGACAAAGGTGATGAAGATACCCAACAAACACCACCACCACCAACAACAACAACAACAAACAACAATCATCATGAACAGGAGAAACTTGAAGGAAGTAGCATCTTTCACCTACACATACCTATGTAGCATCGTCTCAACTACAGGCGACACAGGCACAGATGAGGATGTCAATGCAACCAGCATCGGAAAGACAGCAAGACAGGCTTTCGTGCATTTATCTGAAATCAGTGTGGAGATGTACTGCACTCAGTATAAAGCGTGAACAACATCCAGATTTTCAACACTAATTCAGTCAAGCAAGTCAGTGCTTCTATGTGATAGTTGAGAGACTTGACGCGTCACAAGAAGCACTTCCAAAAAACTACACATTCATCAACAGCTGCCACCTACGACCATCACTCCATACTGAAGATCAGATGGTCAGAAAGAATAAGCAAAAAGGAATTCTGGCTGGCAACAAACCAACCAAGAACCTATCACGCAACAAATATGCAGAAGACGAAAGTAGAGATGGATTGGATTGGGTATACATACACTGAGAAGGCTGATTGGGGTCAGGCTCTCAAGTGGAGTCCAAATGGGAAACGACGATTTAGGCGTCCGAGGGTGACATGGAGGAGATCATGTGAGGAAAAATGAAAGCTTGTGGGCAGTCGTGGAGCCAGGTTCAAAAGACCGTAGAGAACAGAGAGCAATGAAGGCGTACTATTGAAGCCCTATGTTCCACTAGGAACCCAAGGGAAAAATAATAATAACAAATAAATAAATGCTAGTCCACCAAACTACAGCTATCTCAGATAGTCAAAATGATAAATTAAATACGTTGGATTAAGAATTTTATATGAAGAAGTGAGAGAGACAAATAAGCCATCGGTAGTATGCTCAGAACACTGATATTGATTGTCGATGGAGGCTCAATTGTACACGAGACGGTCATCAACAGACACCCGGATTCGCTGGACTATAAACATACTAGTGTCCCCTAGACGAGGCGGACCTGAGTCATACAGTGCTAAAGTTAAAAGACTCGATGTCTATTCCAGATATTTTGAAAATTGTACTACCATTACAATGAGAGAATGGAAAGTGACAAATTTATACAAGTTAATTAAGAAAGTCATGGGATTTATCCTCAAAACCTTTATCTAGTAAATAATATTTCAAATATGCATATACAATGTGCAGTTCCACTGCACCACAGTGTAGAAATCTATACTGAAGTACTTGAACGAAATGATCTCTGACAATTCTAGCGACAATAAGTATGAATAAGATGTATCATGCTTCGTTCGAAACCCGTACTCCACATTGATTGACAAAATGGTTACATAGAATACTGAGCTAAATTTCTGTGACTGAAGGAAGACACAGGGAAACCACCTTAAATTAACGCTAGATGAAATTGTATCATATTAATGTAAAACTCTTCTTATAACGTGCTATAGTCACTCCAAGGTTATCACATCAGATGAACCAATCAGAAATGACGACCTTGTCAAGCTGAATAAACATTAAGACATTTGCTCTGATATCTTGTGAATACATATGAAGGTTAACACTAACACTAACCTGCAATAATAGTTGATACTTGAGTACACGTTGTACCGGTTTGAGTAGATATGTAGCCAATGGAAGTTGATGTTGTAATTCCAACTGACAATTCATAAGATATGTCCATATTTCTGTACGAGATTTCTGTTCTTCTTCCAATAGACGAATAGTTCTGTATACCAAAAAAAAACATCACCTATTCAATGGATCCAATATGATTTCCAACAATTATAGACATTCCTTATTACTTAAAAGTGTTTCCCAATTCTTTGGCCTGTGACCTGATGATTAAGTGCTGACTGCTGACTGATACTACTCGGCTACAAACGATAACTTTCAAAGGTTTTTCAACCATGAATCGAAATGAACCAAGAGAGCTAGGCTAGATATCGTAAAACCAATATTTCCACTGCTTTAGAAACTACTTGGTTAGAGGCGATCGTTAAGATGTCATGAATCTACGTTTCGTCCATTTTGGTGCTCATCAACTTTAGAAATCATCAAACCTTCAAGTTTATTAAATCTCATTAGTACGATGGAAAAGTACTTCGAATTCAAATAAGAATCTTCGATCAACTCAAAGGTTCATAACCATATTTTAAGAAAAATATGAATTCAAAGAAAAATTTGCTGTGTCATCAATCTGATTACTTTAGAAATGTTAAACCAAACATCTTCATGTGAAAACTCTATTTATTAAATAATTTAGTTGGTTACGGCTAGCAGAAGAATCCAAGACGAGCGTTTCGACCTATTTGGGACTCACTCGTCAGCCGGATTAACATGCACCAACCAAATTATCATAATTAACATTCAGGCAATATTGAGGCATCCGCATAGGAGCCCAAGTTCCAATAGAGGTTGGACAATTCGATCCAACACAACAAACAATGGAGAGTAATGTATTTTTTGAGATGAATAGGATTTTTAATTTAGAAGTAGAATTCATCATGAACTGACATCACTTGGGGAACCATTGAAAATCTAGGAGCACTGGACAGCTGTTTCGTCCTAGTATGGGACTCCTCAGCAGTACGCACTGAATGGTTAACGCGTTCGCCGTGAAACCTGAGGGTTCTGAGTTCCACCCCTAGCCGGGTCGTGGATGCGTACTGCTGAGGAGTCCCATACTAGGACGAAACAGCTGTCCAGTGCTCCCAGATTTCCAATGGTTCCCCAACTGATGTCAGTCCATGATGAATACTACTTCTAAATTAAGAATCCCCATTCATCTCAAAAAATACGTTACTCTATACTGCTCATTAGTGACTTGCTTCTAGATGGATGTTAGGAAGTTCTAATGAGAAGCCGTGACCTGTGGGGTCAACCAGTCGGAAGTGAAGTGGATGCTAACTGAAGACCTTGAGTGGTGGTCGCACTATGTCGTGAATTGACAGAATTTGGAAATTGTGGACCACTGGAAACCGACCAAGTGGCTGAATGGTTAACGCGTTCGCCGTGAAACCTGAAGGTCCTGAGTTCTACCCCTAGCCGGGTCGTGAGTGCGTACTGCTGATGAGTCACATACTAGAACGAAGCAAGTAGCTGTCAAGTGCTCCCAGATTTTCAATGGTTCCCCAACTGATGTTAGTCCATGATGAATACTACTTCTAAACAACGAAGAATAACAAGTATATCAATAAGTTGTAATATCTACTTATTAGATAGTAACGATGGGCAGTGGCTAGCAGTGGAATCTATGATGCGCATTTCGTCCTATTTGGGACTCATCAGCCAGCTGGATGTACCTACCTCCCAGTGAGTGTTCTTCCCACCGAGACTCGGACTCGGTAGCGACCGCTTCAAACGCGACAGCGTTATCCACCACACCACTGAGCTTAATATAGTAGCTAGAAAAGGAATAGGTATATGATGCATACTGAGAATAATGAACTCGATAACAGAAAAAACACAGTGTGTAAACAAACCATTCAAGATCAAGGCAAAAAAAAAATCAGTTTCAAATCTTATCAAATAAAAAACTTTGCATTGAGATATGCGTGTATATTGTAGTTGATAGACATCATATTTCGAACCAATGAGAGTTGAATTATAGTTTGCCGTCCTTGAGCGACCTTGAAAGCACCAATAGGAGAACGGCATTTTCTTACACTTTGATATGGATATAAATAAGTCTTCAAGTGGTTTTCAATCACTTTTAAACTACTTATATGAGACTTAATTAGGATTTAAGAATTAGAGTTTGAGAATCTAAAAAAGACACAATGAAGACCTATAGATTCCAAAGTAGGAAACATGAAAATCAAGTCATAAACCAGGGAAACTTACAATGAAAAGGCTGGAAAGAGCATCTACTCGCTGATCATTGTTTGCTTTATCAGTTAATGGGTACTGAGAATCTATCTGGTTGGCTTTAGGAGGTCAAAATGAAAGATGTGACTAAGGCATCTACCTGTATGAACCTCTTGTCTATAATTTTGTCTCATATGGGAAATATAAGCGTATGAAAAAACTTCTCCCTTTGGCTCAGTGGAAATTATCATTATCAGAATTGTGCATGAGCTCCTCTCTATTATAAACAAAACTTGGTACTTCCCTGGATACTTTGGATAATTAATAAAATACTCTAGGTATAATTGAGTGTTTTTCGTCCTATTTAGGATATATCTGGATTTATTTATTATATTATTTGTCCCTTGGGTTCCTAATGGAACATGCGAATTCAGTAGTAATCTTCTCAACATGGCTCCAAGACTGCCTACAAGCTCTTACTTCTTCCTCACACCATCTCCTCCACGTCACCCTCACCTCCAACGCCCAACTCGTCGCTTCCCATCTGGGTTCCACTCGACAACCTGTCCTGGTGCGTGATGTCTCCAGTCGGTCCTCTCAGTGGGTGCCCAATCCATCTCCACTTCCTTCCACTGCATATTTGCTCAGCGATAGGTTCTCGCTTCGTTGGTTCGTTGGCAGCCAGTCAGCCACAGCTCCTTGTTGCTTATTCTTATTATTCTGGCTATCCCAGCTTCAGTATCGAGCCAGTGCAGGCAGTTGTTGATGAATGTGTAGTTTGTTGGAAGTGCTTCTTGTGACGCGTCAAGTCTCTCAACTATCACATAGAAGCACTGACTTGCTTGACTGAATTAGTGTTGAAAATCTGGATGTTGTTCACGCTTTATACTGAGTGCAGTACATCTCCACACTGATTTCAGATAAATGCACGAAAGCCTGTCTTGCTGTCTTTCCGATGCTGGTTGCATTGACATCCTCATCTGTGCCTGTGTCGCCTGTAGTTGAGACGATGCTACATAGGTATGTGTAGGTGAAAGATGCTACTTCCTTCAAGTTTCTCCTGTTCATGATGATTGTTGTTTGTTGTTGTTGTTGGTGGTGGTGGTGGTGTTTGTTGGGTATCTTCATCACCTTTGTCTTCTCTACGTTCACTTGAACTCGTGTCTTCGCTGCCTCTTCTGGCAACTTGTTAGACATATCTGGAAGCTTAGTGAAAACCTGGACATCATGAACACATCATCTAGCATTGGACTCAGAGGCATTTCACCCTATGTAATCTCCCCAATAATTTCAATGTATCACAGCTTAAACGTACTACACATCGTAAAAATTATTGTACTTATAGCTTATTTCGTAGTACAGTTCAATAGCTTGGTTGAGAAGCTCTTCAGTGACCCAGTACCCATTTCTTGATGACGTATAGCCTGGTAATTATTAGTCTTATGATGCCAATCAGTTAGAACTTATAGGATGGAAAGTCACTAGCCAATGACATTCCGTTTTTAATGAAGTCAAAACTGCTAGCCCTTTTGAGAAAAGGAATAGAAATCCGTTTCTCATAGATTTCCCCCCTCCCCCATTCTTACTCATGACTTCGTTGTTGATTTGATACGCTATCTAAGTACAAAATTAAATCCGCCTATCTTAACACTAAGATTGATCTGCATACATACGAAAAGAATGATAAGTCACTAGCTTAGAAATACGCAACTATTCTGTGGCTATGTACGTCCCCATATGTAGCCTGACTAGTGATCTGCATTAAAAAAAAAGGCGAACTAGCGTGTATTTTTACCAAAGAGAACATTATCTGTCATATTGACATGAAGAAACATCCCATCCCACCAGCTCATTAAAAATGCTTCGTCTATACACTAGCATAAAAATAATCACTTTTCAATAGCCAATCAAATCGTTGTTGAAAAATTAACCAATCAAACTGTCTACTTGACTCTCTATTGATTATATTATTCACCAATTATCGATCGATAAAGAGTAGACGAAATAGAATTCTGATTGGTCAACTAATTTTTGACAACCAATTTTTAATCGATTATAGGAAATTGATGTTGACTATGACAGTTTTATTTGGCCTGTAAGGAAAACCCGATGGGACAGACTACTTAGGTGGAAATAATCGCAGTATAGTTAATTCAATTTTCCTTATGAAGAATAAATAATCCCACCATAAGTAGTAAGTAGCAAGAGAAATAAATATCCGATAAGCGCGTAAACAGGAAAAAAAATCGTTACGGCGCCTTCGATTACTCATTCCACTGGATTGTTAATAATAATGAAAAAGGCAGAATGAAGCTTGTAAAATAAAATCAGAAACAAAACCTCTTCGAAGTGAAAACAGACTCTTGAAGAGGAACGAAAACAATTATAATAATAATGATAATTAAACAAAAATTTATACTATGAAATTGTCTACATTGTCTTCCTATGCACGCGAACATACACGCACAAACAGGGGGGGGGGGGTGAATCTTATACACAAGTAAAAAATCACAGGAACTCTAATGAAATTGGGTCAAAGTAATAAAATCCCTGCTGGGATGCTGTAAAACAATTCCAACGCCTTACCATTATTATTATTATTATTATTATTATTATTATTATTATTATTATTATTATTATTATTATTATTATCGTTGCTGTTAGTATTGCAGCTACTGGGGTTACAGACAGACATTATAATTAGCAGTAATATAGTTTGAATCAATACAAGCAATGGAGAAATTCCAGTCATTCAAAAGTTTTACGTTAGGTGTTGAAACAAAGAATAGATCAAAATAACAATGATTTTCCTTACCTGAAGGTGATTATCTTATGAAAAAGTATCCACTCAGAGGTGTAAAGATTCTTTTTGGTTATAGAAGTCATGTGTAGAGTTTCGAGTAGAAGAGGAGATCGTGA